CCGTGATAATAATAATAATAATGACCACAACTATAACTATAATCAAACAACAAAAAAAAAAAAATTAACAAAAAACAACAACAGAACCAATAACTAAAATAACTAAATAACAACAACAACAACAATAACAATAACAATAAAAAAGTTCTTAATTGATTCCTAATTGATTCTAAATTATCTTCTAACCTAATTAACCCCCAACCCAATTAACATTTAATTAACACTTAATTAACACCCCTTGATCAACACATACTCTCAATTAATAAAACAATATTCGAACTTTAGGTGCTGCTAATATAAATGATTGATCCCTGACAAAACTCTTTTTCTCCGATTTAATTGGTCAAATTCTTGTTTTAATTAATTTGATCATTTATTATTATGTTTTTTTACTTTTAAATAATGATCGTCAATCTAGAAGTTTATAATACTTGTGTAATTTAAAAAAAATTTAACTGTTTTACAAATTATAATAATTTTTATTATATAATGTTACCATTACTATCTGAAGAATTATTTAACCTTCATTGTGTAGCATTAATTGAACAAAATTAATTAGTAAAATAAATATCTTTATTAATTAATAAAAATGTTACAATATGCACACCATAATCTTAATCTTTGTTCATTTAGATACATTTTGGGTTTCATATACGCTAAAATTTTTCTTCGGAAATGAGCAGATCTTTTCTAAACAAGGTACCGATATTTCCTTTACAGGTAAAATCTAGAATCTTTGAAAAATTTCAAAGCACATGTAGTAATTATTCGCCAAGGAATTAAAAAAAATTTTTTTTAATGTTAAACCTTTTATTCTTTAGCTCAAAAGATTTTTTGATTACGACATCTTTGGAGAGCAATATGAAAAAAAAAGTGTGATAGAAATGCTTGATGCAAAGAGTTTGGCAAAAAAGTCGAGAATAAAATAGGATTGTTTATCGGGGATCTTTTTTATTTGCATTTATATTTGCATAATTTATTATTTACTAGCGATCTAAAACATTATGTAATAAGTTAAAAATTTTTTAATTTTTAATTAAAATTAAAATTAAATTTTGTTTTGGTGTAAATGATTTTCAATGTTGTTGCTAATGTTTAAAAAAAAAAATTTATAATCGTATTAATTATAATTATAGACCAATTATGTAATAATGTTATTTATCATATCTATTAAATATAAATTTTTGTTTTCCTCAAAATAATATAAATGTTCCCGTTGGTTCCTCGCGTCAATTAGCATATTGTTTTACAATTACTTTGCTGCCAAGACTTTCAAATGCCAAAAATGGATATAATTTAGTCGGAAGTTCGGTGCCCCATCTCCCATCCAAATAGCATTTGTACCCGTCGAATTCAAACTTTAAAGTTCTCTTTGTCATGTCAACAGTCATCACAATCTCAACTCCCTCGGTTATCCCATACAAAATACTCCAAAAAAATTTTTTGGATATTGAACTGGTTTCGTCCGATTCTGCAAAATGATAACTTTTGACTCGATCCTTATATATGCGTGCATCCGTGCACAAACTCCAGCTATTTCCCATCTTATCCTCATTTGCTCCTATGCAACTTTCTGCACACTCTTGATCACAAACACCTATCCAAACCCTATTATTACTATTGTTATTATTGCTACTATCCAATTTCTCTATTTTGATTTCCCATTGATAAATTACATCCCCTGACATTGATAAATTTGTTGATATGCATTTTACTGTTTTGAAATCTGACACACTTTTTATCGAAAATTCACCTCCGTATCCATCAACATCATCAATACCTTCAGAGCATTCAATAAATTCTGTCAAATCAGATTTCCATCTAATATACGGAAAACCACGCGTTTCCGTCATGTCATTCTTTTCAAATGCTAACTCTTGATAATATTTTCTGATTCTATTTTCAGAAAACAAATTTAATGGTTGAATTAATATGACCATGTCTGACTTTTCCAATTTTTGAATATTTAAGAATGGCTCGAATTTGGCAAACTGGTTTTTGAACTTGTTAGTTCCTACCAAATTAAGAAATTGCTTATTTTTAAAAAATGATAAATCTTTGGGATTGAATTTCTTTGCATTTTTCAGACTACAAGTATTTTTTATTTCATTGGGATCAAAAGAAAAAGT